GCAAAGATGCACACAACGTGCAGCCTTAGAGAAATCTCTGATGTGACAGTCAGCTAGATGAAAGAAAGGACCCTGCTCTAACACTTTACATAATAACTTCTGACCTGCTTCATGGAGAGATATGTCATGTAGTAACCTTTCATATGAACTGAAGCTTTAAATGCATTCATTACATAACCAGAGTTAAAATAGAGTTTAAAATATGGGAGAAGAGACGCCAAGGATAAAGTACCAGGTGTAAATGAGGAATAAAAGGTCTCAGGTAACACTTACATGTATTCATTATTTCATTGCTTAAGTTCTTCCAATGAGATGTAAGAAGTGGAAGAATAATTGATTCAATAATAGTAGAATAGAATAGGTACCTTAGCCACGTGCTTATTATTGGGACCATGGTGATGCTGCTCCACTAACCTTAAACTGCTTCATCAACCCAATCCACTCTTTACTGTCACATCATGAAACAGTGAATTGAAAGGATTTTACAGATATGTCTTGAGAAATTAGCCATTTTGAAAGACATTCCAGAACAAGCACACAGCATTTGCTGCTTCTTACATTAAAGGTCACCTATTATGCAAAATCCACTTTTTCATATTTGTTATACATCAACATGTGTCCCCTCTTCTTCATGTCTCTTCTACATCAACATGTGTCCCCTCTTCTTCATGTCTCTTCTACATCAACATGTGTCCCCTCTTCTTCATGTCTCTTCTTCATCAACATGTGTCCCCTCTTCTTCACGTCTCTTCTACATCAACATGTGTCCCCTCTTCTTCATGTCTCTTCTACATCAACATGTGTCCCCTCTTCTTCATGTCTCTTCTACATCAACATGTGTCCCCTCTTCTTCATGTCTCTTCTACATCAACATGTGTCCCCTCTTCTTCACGTCTCTTCTACATCAACATGTGTCCCCTCTTCTTCATGTCTCTTCTACATCAACATGTGTCCCCTCTTCTTCATGTCTCTTCTACATCAACATGTGTCCCCTCTTCTCCATGTCTCTTCTACATCAACATGTGTCCCCTCTTCTTCACGTCTCTTCTACATCAACATGTGTCCCCTCTTCTTCATGTCTCCTCTACATCAACATGTGTCCTCTCTTCTCCATGTCTCTTCTACATCAACATGTGTCCCCTCTTCTTCATGTCTCTTCTACATCAACATGTGTCCCCTCTTCCTCATGTCTCTTCTACATCAACATGTGTCCCCTCTTCTTCATGTCTCTTCTACATCAACATGTGTCCCCTCTTCCTCATGTCTCTTCTTCATCAACATGTGTCCCCTCTTCTTCATGTCTCTTCTACATCAACATGTGTCCCCTCTTCTTCATGTCTCTTCTACATCAACATGTGTCCCCTCTTCCTCATGTCTCTTCTACATCAACATGTGTCCCCTCTTCCTCATGTCTCTTTTACATCAACATGTGTCCCCTCTTCTTCATGTCTCTTCTACATCAACATGTGTCCCCTCTTCCTCATGTCTCTTCTACATCAACATGTGTCCCCTCTTCCTCATGTCTCTTTTACATCAACATGTGTCCCCTCTTCCTCATGTCTCTTCTACATCAACATGTGTCCCCTCTTCCTCATGTCTCTTTTACATCACCATGTGTCCCCTCTTCTTCATGTCTCTTCTACATCAACATGTGTCCCCTCTTCTTCACGTCTCTTCTACATCAACATGTGTCCCCTCTTCTTCATGTCTCTTCTACATCAACATGTGTCCCCTCTTCTTCATGTCTCTTCTACATCAACATGTGTCCCCTCTTCTTCACGTCTCTTCTACATCAACATGTGTCCCCTCTTCCTCATGTCTCTTCTACATCAACATGTGTCCCCTCTTCTTCACGTCTCTTCTACATCAACATGTGTCCCCTCTTCTCCATGTCTCTTCTACATCAACATGTGTCCCCTCTTCTTCATGTCTCTTCTACATCAACATGTGTCCCCTCTTCTTCATGTCTCTTCTTCATCAACATGTGTCCCCTCTGTGTAAAGAGACTCTGAAAGTTTCAGGAACAAAGATTCTCTCTCTTTTTGTCCTGATCCATTTCTATAAAAACCTGTCTGAAAATGAGCTGATCTGGTCTGGTTGATCTGATTTGGACACTTTATGATGTCATAACGATGTTTTGGCTTGTGTAACCATTAGCCAATCACCAACCAAGGCCCAACCCCCCCCCCCCCCCCCCCACCTTATCACCTGAATCTCCTCCTAGAGCACCATTGAGTTCTTTGTAACCAAATCTCTCTCAGAGGGGCGTGGGGAGGGGCTCCTTATTTTCATCTAAAGTAACAGACAGAGAATCAGCACTTTTGAAACAGGGCTGAAACAGAGGGGATTATGGGTAATGCTGCAATGATCTGTTTGGTATTTGGAGCCAAACACTTCAGAGACATGTTTTGTATCTGAGACCTATAATATATTGATGAAAAACAGTATATTAGGGGACCTTTAAATGGGGGAAAATAGCATTGGACGTCGAGCATTTTCCTTTATTTTTGATCCACAAGTTAATACATGCAACAACATTGTTTTCTTTAAGGTATTCTTCAGGCCAGAAAGGGCCTTTATTAGAGATGTGTAGAGTTGAAAGGGCAAGACAGAGGGGAGGACTTTGCTTGAATGTTCGGCCGGTTGGGATTCGAACCGTCTTTTTAACAAAGTATAATTATGTATAACAACCTTAAATAAGCTCCGTTATCAAATATGTTTTGCAGCCCCAGACAAACTTAATTTGGGGGCAGAAGTGATCAGGGCTGTCCTAGAGCTCTCTTTCTTACATGTGGCAGCAGCTTTGAACCTGCATTATGTGTTTAAGATTTGACCGTATGGTAAAGCTACGTTTACAAGGTAAACTATCTCAATACTTATTGCACCACGGTTAAAATCAAATGTTCCAGTATTCCTTAAATGCACTGTTGCGTCCACTGTAACCTTTAAGGTGGGCCATTAGTGGTTTGAACTAGTCAGTGAAAGACAATTAAAGAGTGAATTACACTGCAAAATATGTTTGATACGTTTCTATTAAAAAAGTCCTGATTTCAAGTCATTATTCAAATCAAAAGGAACTGAAGTAAAGCTGACTACACACATTTATTCATACAACAAAGTGTGAGAGTGCTTGATGTTTAAAAGCTGAAGTATCAATTTAAGAATGAAGAATATGACAGCTTGGTGGAACTGAGAGCTGAGTATAACACTTTTCCAGGAAAGATACCATCTGATTTGGAAATAGCCTCCAGGCATCTTCGACAGGTGGTTACAGGAACACGTCACCGTGCTGCACTAAAGTGGAGCAGCTTCCTCTCACTCATTCTGTAGACTGCTGTGGTGGTGCTCTGTGTGCTCTGTGTGCTCTGTGTGTGTGTGTGTGTGTGTGTGTGTGTGTGTGTGTGTGTGCGTGCGTACGTGCGTGCGTGCGTGCATGCGTGTGCGTGCATGCGTGTGTCAGTGCACCTGCAACCACAGCCTCTGTGTCAGAAGGCCTGCAGCAGGAAATGTTTTGAACCACTACAGACTTGTACATGGCTGCAGTGAATGCTGCATGCTGATTGGCTAAAGCTGGTTGCATTATTTTGAGATAAACACATATTGACTTCACACAATACATACATTAAGGAAATACATACTTTAAATAATTAGTGAGCATTAATTAATGCAAAAAGAACCTAGATTTAGTCAAGAATCAGGATCTGAGGACGGCTGAGAACAATGACAGGAAGTCATACACTTAAGCATATGGAATGTTCTGGCCATCCCTTGACTTCTTTGCTCTTAACCCAAACCAGAATGTCAGACCTCAAGCCAATGTAAGTGTAGCCCGCCATCTACAGGTTAAACTGTATAACAGCACACAAACTAAATATCAGTAGATAGGATGAATTCAGTGCACGTGTAATGAAGTTAGGTGAACATGTAATTGTAAATAAATGTAAATAACAAAAAATTAAATAGTTGGGGTGTCTGTTTTTATCTAACTATGCATTACATGCAGTGGCGGCTGGTGCATTTTTCTCCAGGGGGGGCTCTACACAAACTCAAAACATATGTCATATTACAACGCAGGGCTAGCTCAAAGGCACACAGCACTTGATACAGTCTATTATTTTAGTGCCTGTTTTTGTCAACCTCCTTATTATGCTTACAGATCCCTATCCTGTAGCCCTCATTGGACAGCTGTGTTTACTTTCCTAAACATGGCTAGTCGCATAGCATTATCCATGTGGTTCATGCTTTTTAGTTTTTTCTGATTTGTGCTTTAAGTCACTCACATTTGTCTGGATCCATGCTGGGTCTGGTCCATAGACTGGTCTGATCCTGACGTTTGAAAAGGGAGGCAGGGGAAGCAAAATATAGCACTGGTGTAGCTACAGGTAGTTAGCCAAGCCTTCTTGCTAAACCAGCTCCTTTGAAAGAGCACGTATACTGCCTTCCTCTGTGCTTAACTCCTGCCTATGTCAGGCTGATCAGGTCCGAGCTCTTTTACTTTCAGCTTTCCCTCCAGTGTCCTCCTCTCAAAGGCTGTTTCTTTAAGTGATTAAAAATCATTTTCCTTCTCCATATTCGCTATCTAGTTTTGTTTACACTCCGTGTCCGTCTAACTCTCTCTCATTCAAACGTCAATCACTCACTCTGGCGCTCCTTCTGCCCCCTAGTTGTTGGCGGTGTCAACAGCTGCTTTGGGCGCAGTTAGGTGCGCCCCGAGCTGCTCCTATCTGTTGCATTGAAGAGGTGCGGACTGCGCATGCACCACTTATAACGAGAGTCAATGGGCAAAGATTTCTGCGCCCCAAGCAGGAAACATGTGACTTATCAGTAACTTTAGACATTGTAAAACAATTTGTTTCGATATTTTATCGCAGATTATACATTTAACTGACACCAACTATATAATATGTACCTTGTTCATTAAAAAATAAATGTACACAATTAATAACATTTAAATATTTTTTAATGACAATCTAGAATTTTGGAAGAGGTGGGGCGGCGTCCCTAGCGCCCCTATGGGCCGGCCGCCACTGATTACATGCTTCATCTTTTACAGACCGGTACACATGCTCTCAAATGAATTATCAATGTGAACCACTTTTTTTAAAAGCCCTCTTGAATTAATAAGTATTGAGTGTAACAAATTACTAATTTGTTCACCTGACTAGGGATAGGTATCGAGAACTGATAGTAAATTAGTACTGGTACCTAATTGGTCAGTACCTACGTTTCGATAATCTCCTGAACAATCTGTTTACTTGTTAAGCGACGGATGGTGATGAGCGCACTGCTTGTGCGATAGAGGCATTCAAAGCATTTTAAATGCTGAGCCTCATCTCTCAATGCTCTGATTCAGTATGTGATCCCCACAGTCAAAGCCGACAAGGAAAAACATGCATGTAGAGGAGGTGTTTGACTGCTGTCAGCAAGGTTAGTGTTACACTGTTGTCCCTCAATATCTATGTTTATGTCTATGCTCTGTACTAAGTGCAGCCTGGGAGTGTCACATGACAAGTTTATTGTCAAAGACTTGCAGCGCTTCACTACAGCCAGGGCCAGCTCGTGGCATAGGCAGTATAGGCGAATGCTAAAGGTGCATCCATTCATGGGGGGCACCACAAATAGGGAAGAAAACATTCCCGGCGGTCCGACGTGAATGTAATTGTTTGCCTGGTGTCCGCTTGGATACAGTTGTTTTGCGGTCTATGTCGCCAGAGAATCATACCCTGGTGTGAGCGTCCTGTTAGAGGTAACTATAGTAATACACTGTATTATACAATCATTAGGAGAGAGCTTGACTTCTCACAGGGCAACTCGCTAGCGGGCAACTCAACAGCAAGAAAACAGAGCTCATGGTTGTGGCCCCCAAAGCGCTGCTCCAGAAGGTTGGTGACTTCATCCTTGAGGTTGACGGCTGCTCCATCTCCCCATCTCCTGAAGTCCGCAACCTGGGTGTCATCTTTGACTCCACCCTTTCCTTCCACTCCCACATCAAGTCTGTCACCAAATCTATCTTTTTCCACCTAAGGAACATTGCCAGACTCCGACCGTCACTCTCGGAGTCGGTTGCAGAAACCCTAGTCTATGCTTTCGTCACCTCCCGCTTGGACTACTGCAATGGTGTCCTGTATGTTCAAAACTGTGCTGCTAGGGTACTCACAAATACAAAGCCGTGGCAGCACATCACTCCCACCCTCATCCACCTCCACTGGTTGCCGGTCAAGTCCCGCATAACCTACAAAGTCCTCCTCCTCACCTACAAGTCCCTCCATGCGCATGCCCCCCAGTACTTATCGGACCTCCTCCGCCCACATGCCCCACCCCGGAACCTGCGGTCTTCAGACTCTGGCCTGCTCACCACCCCCCGCACCAACCTGCAAGCCTTCGGGGACAGAGCCTACAGTGTGGCAGCCCCCACCCTCTGGAACGCTCTCCCTGCGGCGATCCGCAACATCCCCACACTTGTTGCCTTCAAAAGGGCCCTCAAGACCCATCTGTTTACTAAGGCCTTTGGCCCCTAATTGATTTGTTGTTTTGTCTGTCTGACTGTTTGTCTGACTGCCTTTTGTTTGTTTGTTTTTACTCCTGTTTTTCTTTGTAAAGCGACCTTGGGTCCCATGAAAGGTGCTATATAAATCCAAGCTATTATTATTATTATTAGTTTACAAAAAACAAAAACTGTTGAATGAATAATGATAATGATAATGTTTTTTTTAAGTGGACTAAATAATACGGGAGAGTCTTAAAATGTTTGTTCTTTGTAGAAAATGTTGTTATCTATTATTTTTCGATTCTGAAAAGCTCAAGGACTATAGTTGTACAGATATTTCCGCAAAAATAATTAATATTATAACTGGTATTGAACCTCTAAAAAAAATAAAATGGAATTTAGTATGCATTAATAGGAACGCCCCCGTTCCTGACCCTCAGGAGGTATTCATCAGGCAGAAATTAGTCAAGTTAAAGTTAGTAGAGCTTGTTGTTTTATCTGTCACATCATCCACATCATATTGGTGTTTTTTCTCCCAGTCTTGGAGCAGTATGGAAGACATAAGGCAGAAACAGCAGAGGCCATCAGTGCTGCGCCAGGTTTCCCAAACTGCTTCCAGTCAACCCCACGGTACGCACAAACCTCAGAGTCCTGAGCACCACAACAGCAACATATTCATCTGATATAACCCTTCATTCAAGTGTGCTAACGTTTTTTTTAGCTATGCTATTGTTATTCAGTATTACTTTCAGTATGCACAAACAATTAGCCTTTATACAAATTATGCAACTGGACATGAGACATTCTTTCTTGCAACGTAGAGCTTGATGCTATTCATGTACAATTTAGATCAAATGCCTACATCAATACTATATTTTTGTGCATCCAGAAAATAATGCAGTCGTCTTCATTTGCAAGGAAGAGGTGGATGCAGACTCTCTTCCCCAGTCTTCCTCACCACACATGGGCTCTTCCTCTCCCAGGCAGAATCATCACTTCCTCCCAGTGAGGAGAGATGTTCAAGTTCAGAACTCCATGGAGGCCAGGATTCATGATGGGTGACTTTCTCAAATGTCCACCGAATGGTGTCTTTCCTTGTACTGCACTTTAAGCCTGAAAGCGCTGCCGTTATTTCATTGGTTCAGAAATGGTATCACTGAGATATTTCTGTTCACACCAGCATCTCAGGCAGGACCACTGCTCTGTCTGTGGGGGGGCTCTGCCGCTGGCCCGGCTGTGATGTGCTGTCTGAGGATTTCCCCTCTTTCTTAAAGTAAGTAGACTGCTGAATCCTACAGTAACAGTACACTTGTCTTGGAATTGGTATGGTATTTTTGGAAAATGATCAGGAGATACATATCCTCTTCAGTTGATATTAGTAATGTAATGTGAAAATAACCTATCAAACAATGTTTGCCTCTTTAAAATATTTGTTCAGCACATATGTTATTCCATCTTACCCAGAGTACAATACATCTGTCAGGCAGTACCATGCCCTCATGTTGTGTTGTTTTGAAGCACATTAAGTTTGTAATGGCACTTGCTCTTGTTCATCATTTGGTAATTGAGTTGATGGGCTAGATACACAAATCAATGGAGGAAAGAACATCATCCCAATATCTGTTTAATTCCCAAATAAGCTGGAAGGTAAGCTCTGTCCTGTTTGGTGTTCCAGGCACCTCCACTCTGAACACAGTCCTGGTGACAGGAGCATCGCTCAGTGGAAGCTCCAGCAAGACGTCGTCCAGTGCATCGAGAGCCAGGTGGGAACTAGACGAGCCTAGAAGGTCTGAAACGACACAGATATAGATTAATATCCTAGGAAATGAAATTGATATTGGGTATTACTAATCTACTCTAAATGTTTCAGAAAACTGATTGTATGCCTCCTTGATGATTACCAAAGTGTGTTGAAGCTATTATGGATGTTGGAGTATTTCCTCTATATATTTTGTGGGTGTTTCTATAAAGCTTTTATCCTAATGACACATGAAAACCAAATAAAAGGAGCGTTGTCTCTTTAGGCTATAACTGAGAGTCCGCTACAGGACAAACACAGCTCTAATGTTTGTCATACACATTACATGTCACGTATTAGACACTTTTATCCAGAACCGGTGCCCCCCCCGCTACGAAGATCAGCGCAGTAACGCACTGAGCCACACTTGTCACCTGCCAGCATCCTTACAAATGTTAAATAATGACTTACAAACACTGTGTGTGTCATGTTGTAAAATCACTTATTTAATGTGATGTATATTTAACCATAGGCTTTCTCTTTTCCAGCTCATCCTGGAAAAACAGAAGCTCATTGCAATGCAACTTCATCTACACCTCTCTGAACACAAACACACTGATTTGGTATGTTGGTTCAAAGCATGTATTGTTTCTTCTAGATTTGTGTGCTTTACTAGAATTTAGCTAAGTGTAGCTTGAAGAATTCATTCAAAACTTTATATTTAGCCAAGATTCTTAGTGACTGATTTTCTACCTGGAAAGAAAGCAGATGAATGAAAGTGTTTTCATATCCTCCTCCATCCATGCACACTGAAGGCAGCGTCTCAGTGGCCGTACAGCCTGCGTCTGTTCCTGCCCCACCCCCCGGGCACAGAGGGAGACAGCGTGCAACAGTGGGGCATCAAACATCCGGAGGGGAGGGGGGGGCAGCACGGCCCCAGAGCTCCTGCCTCTGCCCACCTGCTGCCAGGTAAGTTTTCTATGGAAGTGTACGACAGTTTATTTTGCTTACACACGTAAACATGGCCCATTTTCTCAAAACCCTTAAAACAATTCACAAAACCACACACCCAAAGTACAGAACACCTCTTATATCTTGCAGAATGACTTACTGCACCTAAAACTACATAAACACTCACCAAAACCAAACTTTTGCACCAAATGGCACACACCTCATTTAGAGTTCCAGATTCTTTGTCCACCCAAATACACAACGCTGTGCTAAATCTAAAGCACACTCGTCTTTTATGGCGTTCTGTATGTAGAGAATTCTGCACTAAATAAGTGCAGAAACACAAATATTCTGTTGAAACAAAAATATTCTACACAGTCCATCAGCACAACATACACACAGCACATACAGTTACAGTTAAGGGAACAAAAACATGTGCACACTATCAAATACAGTAAAGGGAAAAGAAAACTTTAAGGAACAAATATTTAGCAGAGGAAAGAAAAATACTTAGGCTGCATTTGACCACCTCGCTGGCTCTGGCCACATCATCAACATCACAGGCAACATTTCCCCTGGCTAGACATGCAGGGACGAAGTGCCTGACTGTTGATTCAGCTCTGGACACTAACACCAGGGTCATCACAGGCTTCTTCCACTGCCTGCAGAGGAGGCCTGACGGTCATACAGCTCCAACCGTTATGCTGCAAATAACTCTTCGGCTGACTTCAGTTCATCCTCCCTCTCTCTCATCCTCCCTCTCTCATCCTCCCTCTACCTATTCCTCCCTCTACCTCTTCCTCTTGCTGCTGTCCATATATCCATGTTTGTTGTAAAAAGGTCTTACGTGGAGCCTTTTTAGAGTGCTTACATCCTGATTGATGAGTCAACAATCAAGCAGTTTGGTGTTTATGGTCATTTGGCACGTGTATGTTTATTGGTTCATGTGTGTAGCATTTTTAATGGCAGTGTTTTGAAAATGGCAAACAAGTGATTTTGTCAGATTTCTGTGTCTTACTTAGAGAACCGTGTGCAGTGTTTTGCAAAGTTGAATTGGAAAGAGCTGAACATGTGTTTAGAGTTTTAGAGATTTGAGCTCAGGTTTAGCTCTTTGAGTGTAAGTTTAAATAATTGTACATACATGTAATTTCGTTCCGATGCTACAATTGTGAACCAGTTAGCAAATACATGTGCCATCGGTCCAAACACCTAACTGATTATTTCTTGACTCATCAATCAGGATGTAAGCACTATATAAAGACTGCAGGTGAGTATTTTTTTGCAACATAGAGGGGGTGAGAGTGAGGACGAATTGAAGTCAATTGAGGAGTTATTTGGCCCTGTGGTACATGCCTGTCCAGCAGGCTCTGGAGCAGGACTCTGATGTCTCAAACCGGCTCAGGGAATGTGACAAAAGAGGGGAGACAAGTCAGGTAAGTGGTTAGCAATGTATTTATTCAAGTGACAACATAGTATCCATGTAAGGAACGAGTTGTGTCTTCCATCAGTGTTCAGCCAGTAAATATATTGCCTGTCATGCTGATTAGTCGCTGTGGCCAGTCCCAGCTCGGTTAGGTATTGTTCTTTCCGTTTTTTTGGACAAAAAAATATTGTTTATTTTCTCATGGTTTTCTTTTTCCTTTACTGTATTTGGTAGTGATCACATGTTATGGTTCCCATAACTGTAACTGTTTGTGCTTTGCATGCACGTTGCACTGATTAGTTGTGTCGAAAACTAAAAGGTTTTGTTTCAACAGTGTACTGTATTTGTGTTTCTGCATTTATTTCTGTAAAGCAAGATTCTTTACATACAGGGGCCAAAGGGTGGATAGAGGCCCCCGCGTCGGGGAAACTCTAGGCCCGGATCGCCAAAGGGAACACAGGGGGGTGGAGCTTGAGCAGTGTCAGGGGCTGGAACTTGAGCCGGGGCTCGGGCTGGTAGCAGGGCTGGCTGAGGGCCAGCAGTCCGGAGCAAGCAACAGTTTCAACAAAATCCTTTATCCAGCCGGGTAAAAAACATACAATCCAGAGCTTTGTCTGAGCTTCCAGAGGTCTGTAGACGAAGTCAGTCCAACAGACCCTGATATCTCTGAGTTATCTGGCTTAACTAACCCTAACAAACGAGATACGACGCTGGTTATCAACTCGGTAAGTCAACCCAGGGTTTCTCTGTCCAGAGCGTGTTCACGTGAAAGGGGCAGGGTTAGCAACATTTGACCAATCACAAACATGAAGAAGCGTACTGACAGCGGAAGGTCATACTTCATGAAAGAAGAGTAAACTATCATGTTAGACAAATATGAAGAAGTTAAACTTTAAACATCCATGACTCAAACACTTAATCCAGGATAAAAGCAATATAATATGTTATCTGTAATATAACTTGATAGCTTTAAACTCGGCACACAGAGCTCTGATTGGTCAGCAGGCGGTGCTTTCACTGAGTTGATCTCTTATCTGGAACATAACCTGCTCCGGAGCAGGTTTGGTGTTCAGCATACGTTTCCATGGAGATCTACCCCGGTAAGAAGTGAAGCAGCGTCGTAGGACAGAAAACTCAGAGTTAACCCTGAAGTTACCTCGCTAACCGAAAATCCTGCTTCTACTACAGGCCCCTGGTATGCCAGTCTTAAAGCTGCTCTTTTGTAGTCGGAGTTATCCTCCACTCCCCATAGCAGCAGACAAGGGAGTAGGACAGCTCAAAAAGTTCTTCCTCAAATAACTCGTCCGCTCGGTCCATGTTCTGATCAGATCCTTCTGTCTGGCTTGGGAGCAGAGCAGGGTGGACCCAAATGCAGAACGTACAAATGTTCAACAAAAAAATACCTTTAATCGATAGAGTAGGACAACGCCAGGCAAAATAAAAGTAACAAACTCTCCATAGGCAATCAATGCACTAATCCACAAATGACAATACAAGGATCTGACAACAACTAACAGACCACCAGCACTGACAAAACATGCAAGACTAATCACGAGGACAAGACACAGCTGGGGAGGGAAGGCAAAACACAAAGGTTATCAAACAGGAGGGAACACAGGGACAGGAAGTAAAAACAGGCGTGAGACAGGGGGTGAACACTGTTCAAAATAAAACAGGAAACACAGACAGATCTTAACACTCTGTTTTTGCATGCTCTTAAAACCACCTGTTCAGTACTATAGTTTCCCACTAACACTCTGTGGTTTGACAGGAAACTATCTTATAAGATCAGATGAATAACCACATGATTGTAGTCCCATGTGCTTGTTGACATTAATTGATGATCATTATTTTTTGTTGTACAGATTTGGTTCCAAGTATTGAATGCTACAAATACAACAACATCAGGCCTCCGTACACCTATGCGTACTTGATAAGATGGGTGAGTCTCTCTCAGGAGATGCTGTGAAATGTTCCATTATTTGGGAAGAAATGTGTGTGTTTTTTAACAGCAGCACAGCAATAATGCAAAGCATGTTAACAGTATGACATTTGAAGAAGTTGTAATTGCACAAATGAAAGTTTAACACAAAATAAACTATAACATGACATATAACACTAACATTATCAAACAGAAACAGCACCTCTGGTTACAGTTTAATATTTACTTGTGTTTCAATGTAGTAGTTTTTAGTAGTGTTTGCCATAGTGCCTCCGGTTACAAATAGCTGGATCAGATGTGGTGTAGTCGGCTACCAACTGCACCGTCTCTGATCTGTCAACACATTGGATTACAGTCTTTGACACATCTTCTCACTGTGTGTCATTGTGTGTTTCTCTCACTGTGTCTGTGTGCAGTCTATCCTGGAATCTACTGACAAACAGTGCACGTTGAATGAGATTTACAACTGGTTCACGACCATGTTCTTCTACTTCAGACACAACACTGCTACCTGGAAGGTTTGAACACACACATTACACATTCATTCTGCTCAGAAGTATTTATGATGGATAGAGCCTAACTGCAAATGTCACTTGCTAAATCATGTATGTACACTGAAATGCAACTTCACAGTTTTTTCCTAAGGTCCACTCCTTCTTACAATTGTTCAGACTTATTAATATCACTTACATTGCAACACGTTCAAATTTGGTGAACATAATGCATAAAAAGACCTCTCTAATGTTTGACCTGCTCATATCTTTGATATGATGATAGTTCTACAACTAATAATTACCTGATGTGGCTAATACTGGGTTTTAAACTTTCTGAAGCCACATGAGGTCAGGTGACGGTGTCCGACACACATTTCCAAAAAGCACGCACAGAGCTGCTGTTTAATTCCACTCTAAAAACTATGATTTATTAAACAATAAACTCCGGCAATCGTCAAAGATAATGTGTGAAAAGAATGTGCTAAATAGTGCGGCAAAAATTATTTAAACAATATGCCAAATAATGTGATCTACTTTATAGAATGATGCGCTTAATAATGTGGTCCGAAACCTCCGCCATCTGACCCAAAAACACACAAGTGTCTCGTCAATTTAAAGCCTCAAACACCACAGGTGGACGCTGACGTCACACAATCACAGAGTGAGAGAGAGCGCCTGCAAACAAAACATCATTATATATATATATTACTTTACATAAATATCTTAACAGTTCTAAAAATAATAGTTCATAACTAATGCTGTTAGATAATTTCATCATAAATCATAAAGCGATTAATGGCTCCAAAAATCTCTTAACCTGTTTAGCCCATAGCCTGTTTTTCAGGTCTCAGGCTCGAAAATGACATTCCCAGAACAAATGACCATATCTTCCCTTCTAAAAGGGTTAAATTAATAATCTTTTTTCTCAAAGTATTGATAAACCTGTGAGTTGGATGTAGAAAAGTCAGAACAATATAGATGTTTTTTATTTTAAAGAAAATTCAGATTGAACATAGTAAAAAACTGTAAATTATAGTGTCCGTCCAAATATTATTTTTTACTTATAGTGAAAACTACCCTTGAATGATGGTAAGGTAGACTAAAAGCTTTAGGAATCCAAAGTACAACATATAATAAGTACCCTGTATCAAGATTGATGCAAAACAAGTGACATTTGACCTTTTTAGAGAGGTTTAGCAAAAACAACTCCACCTCTGAGGTGATTTGGGTGGAAATGGGGGTTTTACCGTTTCTCTGGAACCCATTGGTCGATTTTGACGAATGAAATCTCTTTCTGACCGTTAGAGCCAATAGAATCAAAGGGGAATCTCCCCTCTCACACACATGGTACAAAAAAAAGGTGGGGGCTTTGCGCATGCAGTTTTGCATCAGAGCGAACCTATACTCTAGCTCTGACATCTGGAAACGGAAAAGCAGTTTTATTGCTCATGGATGATCAGAAATCATTTCAAAGGGACACAGACACATTGGATTAACCTATGGATTAACTTCAGCAGCGTTTTTATCGTTTTAATGCCATTGAAGACCACTTTTGACCAGACTACGACACAGGGTAAACCATGTTAGCGTTTTTAGCTACCTAGCGCCACATGTTTTGATGTCTGTTTTTGTTTATAAAGTCGCGAGTTTGTATCATAGAGTGATAATGTATGTACCCATCGATTCTGTGTCACCTCACGATGTGAATCGATGTGTTGGATGTGCAGAAAAGATAAATAATAAGGTTTTATGAGTGATTTTCGGTGCAGTAATCTGTTAGCATTTTTCGCTCGTTGCTAATTCAGAAGCTCAGCGTTAGCATTGCGTTTTTTTTTTTTGAAAAAATAAAATAAAAAGGATCAGTTAGATGAGTTTCTTCCCGTTACATGGATATAAAACATTCATAGTTTATTAAATGAACATGCCCTCAGACACTGTTTCCTGCAAGATGTTGCGGGAGGGCGTCGTTACCGGGGTCTCTCGGGCTTAACAGGTTAACCTCTTAAGCACGGCGGTCCCCCCATTTGACCCCTCCCACCGTTTTGTTCTTCGAGATAATGTCTCAGGGCTACAACTGTTGATCCATAGGTTGATAATGTACCTGTGCCTTTGAAAAAATTATTTATAATCCATAATTCCGTTTTTTATGTAAAAATCGGAGCGGAAAAGTTAGCTGCTAATGGTAGCCACCAGAGTGTATGCAGCTTCCGGTTTTGGTAACGCGTCACTCTCACTCCTTATTTGTTAACGTTTTGGTGTGTATATAACTTTCCCTCGATTCCATTGGCTCTAGCGGTTATAAAGAGATTTCATTCATCAAAATTGAGCAAGGGGGGCCAGAGATAGGTCAAATCCACCCAAATGACCCCAGAAGTGTTTTTTTTTGGCTAAATCTCCCTAAAACGGTCAAATTTCACTTGTTTTGCATCAATGGTAGTTTTCACTATAAGTAAAAAAGGATTTTTGGACGGACACTATAATTTACAGTTTTTTACTATGTAAAATCTGAATTTTCTTTAAAATAAAAAACATCTATATTGATTCTGACTTTTCTACATCCAACTCACAGGTTTATCATTACTTTGAGAATAAAGATTATTAATTTAACCCTTTTAGAAGGGAAGATATGGTCATTTGTTCTGGGAATGTCATTTTCGAGCCTGAGACCTGAAAAACAGGCTCAGGGCTTAAGAGGTTAATAAGTGAGTTTGACTGTGTTGTTCTCATAGCAACATATCTATATCCATTCAACAAGGCAATAGTAAAAAGGTAATGAGGCTAAATTAAACCGCATTTTAATTTACTTCAGCCAAATCAAAACTAAAAACACACTTCTTCTCTCTGGCTTTCTAGTCAGAGCGGAGCACGACTCCTGACGTTTTATTTTTTATTTTGTTTTTTAAGATATATCTGTTGTAATTTATTGTCGTTTATTGTGATTTGTAGTAATGTGTTTTTATTACATGTACAGCACTTTGGCTCGACCAAAAATCGCTTTTAAATGTGCTTTATAAATAAAACCTGATTTGATTTGATTTGATTTGATTTGATTTGAACAAGATATAATATTAGAGTTCTCAATTTTTTTAGATCATGTCATCATAATTACAAATGCACTATTTAGAACTTGGACGCTGGCAATCACGTTAACTCCTTCGTGACAGGAAGATTGCATTATGGTTAAACCGACAGGAAAATCACAAGAAATGTTGGTCTTAATTGTTCTACTAAAAATCTACAAGAAAAAGTTTTCCATCTACTCAATCACATTGACCTTTCCTCCCAGAATGCAGTGCGGCACAACCTCAGCCTACACAAGTGTTTTGTGCGCGTGGAGGGAGGAAAGGGAGCCGTGTGGACAGTGGATGAAACAGAGTACCAGAGGAGGAAAGGACAAAAGTATCACAGGTACAAACATCCTCAGAGCAAACACTGTTGTTCCCCATTCACCACTCAGTATCCACTGCCAAAGCAACAGGAAGGTACATATAAATATAAATATAAACTTAACACAAAAAGTAAGGACATTTGTGTTTGGTAGATGATTTCTTTGTTGTGGCAAAATATCTTATACCGTTGGAAAGCCTGTTTATTTACCTTTTAAAATAGTGCAACATTTGTGAGGAACATGCATTTGTGGGATGAGAAGCAGAGCTGAGTGTGTGAGGTGCGCCCATGAAAAATGTGACAAATCTCCTCTGTCAAGGTAGGAAAAGCAAAAGGGAAATGGTAAGGAAAGGTGGAAGTAAAGAAGAAACTTAAAATTCAAATTATCATTCTGCATAACTTGGTAATTAAAGACAATGGCTGTAGTGATAGAGCAGTCTCTTAGTGCTGTGTGTGTATCTTTTTTTATAACAGGTGTGTGTGTTTTCAGGGACTGTGCAGTGAAGTGGATCTCGCCATACTCCCATTACTGTGTGGAGGAGCCCTGATGAGCAGCAGGTGGCAGCACTGAGGGCCGCTCGGCCCCGCAGAGTTAGACAGAACTGCATGAGAAACAGAAGAATCTGTTGCATCTTTTCACTTTGTATTTTTTTCTAATGAATTATTAAAAAACATGTATTCTTTGTAAGTTTAAGATGTGTTGTACACATATCTGACAGCAGTTTTTATACTCACTGGTTTATAATTGTAAACAAAGTGTTGCAAAGCCAATGAAGCAAACATTGTGTTGTTTTTCTTCAGCATGATTTTACCCATTCAGTCAGTAGGTTAGAGGTCAAATATATCTTTCCCTGGAACACATCATTTCCCATATAGAGAGAACACCCCCCTACACCCTGTCATCCTGAACTTGACGCCGTAGCGCTGTGGTTTTCAGTGATTTCACAACAAGGCACAGCAAACCTCTTTCCCCTACTGTTCTACTTTCACACAGAAACCCATGTAAAAATGAATTCTTCTTCAGTTAAAAATGCATACAAAACGATATAACAATTGATGTAAAAAAACAAACCAATGTCTTATAGTACATTTGCTAAATAGTAAATATAAAAAAAAGCACTCAGCAGGCTCACACGTTTATGTTTATGTCACTAGATGTGACATAAACACATAAACATGAATATGTGGCTCAGTGGGTAGTGTGCTGGACTTCGAATCAGGGGATAGCAAGTTCGAGTCCCACTTCAGTCAGCATGTCGTTGTGTCCCTGGGCAAGACACTTCACCCCAAATTGCTCCTGTGGGGATTGTCCACAGTACTGAATGTATGTAAGTCGCTTTGGATAAAAGCGTCTAACAAATGACATGTAATGTAATATATATATAAATATATATATATATATATATATATATAAACTTAACACAAAAAATAAGGAAACTTGTGTTTGGTAGTATTTCTTTGTTGTAACAATGCTTCTTGGCAATAAATCTTATACCGTTGGAAAGCCTGTTTATTTACCTTTCAAATGGTCGCACAACTGTGAGGAACTGAAGTTTCCTACTGTAACTCCAGCTTCTATGAGTATAGGCGTAGCCCTCTAAGGCTATCGCTTTTGGGTAATCCCCTGCGCACCCGTGCAGCACTGAAAACACTTGTAGTCCACGCCCACCCGCGAGGTGGGCCCCACCCTTGGACTCACTTCCGGTATAAATAGGAAGGAGGCCCGACAATCTGCTCCCACAAAAACAGCTTTTCTTCAGCTATTCGTGGAGCCAGTGGGGCCCAGAACTTAGATAGGCTTCGCCCTCTAAGGCTATCGCTATTGGGTTAAGGGCGAAGCATGAGGTAGTCTGCGCCCCACTGGGTCCGCCCGGTACCAGAAGCACAGACACACCTACTCAAATAATAACCCATGCCTATTGCGCCATGCGTAATGGCGCATCACAGTCTCTGGAAATATAGCATAAAAACATGAATATTCTCCATGAGGGGACGAAGGCTGGGAACAATACAAACCTGCCGCTGTGAAAAAGTAGAGACGAAGGTCACACTTTGTCCAGCGATAAAAGAGGGGGGAAAAAGCAGCTCTCTGCGTGCAGACAGGCAGGAGAGCGCACAGCTGGGTCCCTGACGTCACTCAGCACAGGGTGTGTCAGAGAGGAATGGGAGACATCCCTCAAATAAAATTGAATAAACGAACAGGGGGAAGACCAAGATGCAGCAATGAAAATGTCTTCCACTGACAAAACAGCTGAGCTGCCATCTCCTTGGATCCGGAGACATGACGGAGCCACAGAAAGGGCAGACAAATCACTCACCCTTTTTGCTGATGTCAGGGCTAAAAGTAATGCTACTTTGGCTGACAAAACCTTAAGGGGAACCTGATCTAAAGGTTCAAATGGGGCTTTACTTAGTGCACGTAACACCAAAACCAAGTCCCACTGAGGCGCCAGTGTTCGTGACACAGGTCTGAGTCTCCGACTCCTCGCAGAAAACGGCTGGGTGGCTGCTGATCGCTCCCTCCACCACGGAATTTCCCACGGTCTGCCTGACAGCGTACGCTGTATGCATGGAAACCAGGACGCTCCCGTGCGCTCCAGGGCTATCAGGACCGCTGATAGCCGCTTCTCCCACACTCCGCCCGGGAACCGAGGGGTCAGCGGAACTGGTGGGAAAACCGTATAACAGCACCCTGGGCCACGGCCGATGTGCGAACGCGTCTACCCCCAGAGGGGGGTGATCCTGCGCTCTGCGAGCCCCTCTGTTCAATTCGCCGGGAATATTAAAGTAAACAGATATGGTTCTAAACTGTATTGAAGTAAACATGTATTGTTTGAACTGTTTTAAGTAATCCCATATATATTGTCTTCTCACTTACAACTCACTGACCCAGAGATCCTGTTACACACACATACACCTCCTCCCACCAGCACACACACATATTCTTTTCAAGGTCCTTTCTGGGCATCAATATATCTGTGTACAATGTTTGGTTGTCTGGGAAAGAATAGTTTGTGTGAAATATTCCTTGGGAAAGTAAAGGAGTGAATACAGGTGCAGAGATAAGATTGACTCTGTCCTTGTGTACTTCCGAAGATCTCAGAAGAAAACATACTTTTTCCCAGAACTCTGATTTGCTGGTATCGGGACCAGCCAGTCAGAAACAGGAAGCATTTTACATGCATAAACAACAGTATTCATAGACATTTTTGGGGCGGAGATGTGTTGACTCTTCCTTCCCATTTTACTCCGAAGCGAATCAGAGAGTCCGTGGGGAGGAGCTGTGTGAGCTGCTCACTCCCCCAGGTGTTTTTACTGGTTGGATTCACTTCTGGTCGGGTCCAATCCTGTATCGCACGGCAGTAGAACTTGAAGTCCAGAGTACTCTGTAAACTTGTATAAGTGTTTTGTTTTTTACCAGTAAAATCAGATTATTGTTATAACCTTTATTCCGGTGTTTTGAATTCCATCTTTTATTAAATCTAACCAGGCTCATCTAACGAATGGCGCGTAGCAGAGGTGGGCTTTAAGCCACCACCACAGTGTTTGCTACAACAATATACATTGCTCTTATTGATTAACTGTGATCTTCTCGCTCCCAGGAAAGAAACTTAAAATAATGAGACTAATGGAGTCTCTGAAAAGGTTTAGATGAGTAATTTAATTAAGTAACGAAGTTATAGAACAAGCATAAGGTAAGGAAGAGACAAAAGCCGGTGTTGTCTCTCGGGTGGCTGCAGCGTAGAAAAGAGACCGTGATGTCCCCGCCTTCTGCTTTTATACTCCTCCAGTTCTCTCCCGCTGTGTAGATAGGGGGACCTCCCTCCGACGTCTTCAATGTTCGACATCGCGTGAAACAGAGGATTTCGACATTTTGTATTCATTGCTTACTTCCATAAGCCTTTTCTCCTCCTTATCTCTTTCATGACTTTTTATTTAATGCTTTATAACAGCTGTAATAGTTAGTTTAGTAATCCTAGAAATACTTTACGACACAGTTCTCATTTACGGTAACTCCTTCTGACGTCATAGCTACCCACGTATGTGAAGAAAACTTTACAATCAACTGTACCTTCATTTAATATTCAGCAGTAATAATATCTCGACGTCTATAGATGTAATGTTAAAGTCAGTAGGTTTTGGTGTGCAACACTCTGTGTCATTTTCACTTCACATTCAGAAAACGTAATATTAGCCACATGCTAAATACCAGAGGTGGGGACTCGAGTCACATGACTTGACTCGAGTCAGTCTCGAGTCGCATATTTTTTGACTTGAGACTTGCTTGACTAACATTGATAAAAGACTTGACTTGACTTTGACTTGGTATTCATGACTTGAGACTTGACTTAAGCTTGAGACAGATGACTTGAAAGGACTTGTCTGTTTAAAATTAAATATTTGCGTTTGTTTTTGTAGTGAGATATTACGTTTAGTTTTTTCGAAAAACGTGATTGGGTGATTATAGCGCCATGCGCGCAAACCTGGCAACCCACTAGATGGCAGGAGCGTCAGTTAACATGGCAGCGGCTAGCGTTACTCCAAAAATAGTGAAGTTTGGATTCAAGGATTATGTTGTCGATGACGCTAATAAGAAGAGAACAGCGGTATGCAGGGTCTGCAGCATAAAGATCAGTGACACGACCACCACAACATCCAACTTCATTCGTCACTACAAAAAACCCCACAGAGAAAGGTGCGTGAATGTGTTGTGTTAGCTAGAAAGCTAACGTTAAGTTTAAGCTACGTTAGACTTGGTTTCAAATCGATTAAGCATTGCAAAGAGAAGACAAAACGGTAAATGAACACTAGAACCTCCAAGGGATTCATTTTGACTAACCCCGATACTGACGGGCTGTCAGGAGAGGGAGAGAGGAAAAGAGATGCCTCGTTTATTTCCCCTGTGTTATTATCAGAAGTTACTGTAAACTTTTGAATAATGTAGTTCATCTACTTTTAGTAGTTTGTTTAAATATTTTAATTATGTTGTTTTTGTTTGTAGAAGTGCATCATTCTTTGATTTATTGTAAAATGAATCTGAACTTTTTGATCTGTTATGATGATAAACTGAAGCAATTTCTAAATTAACCCAATTAAGTGAGTTTTAAATCGTCCTACTTAGTTTATAAGGAAATTATGAAGAGGAACAAATTCAATGATTTGAAAATGATATCTATGTAGGTGCTGACGCTGTTGGCGGTTCTAGTGTTAACAGAAATTTAAATTAAATATGTGTAATGGCAAATGCCATATATGATTTTCTTACCTGGAATTCTGCCTTTTTGAACAGACTTTTTGATTGAGTCCTAGCTATATTGTCTGCAGTTCTAGGGTTAATATGAATCTGATATGATTGTCATCGGTCTAAATTAGATTTCAAATGATTGATGATGATGAACTGTGTATGTAATGAAGATCATAGTGTGGGTTGAATCCATTTTCATAACCACTGTCTTTTAACTGATTTAAATGCGGAAACTGGGCTTATTCATCAGAATTTTGTATGACTTGACTTGACTTGCTTGACCTGAGCAATGACTTGACTTGACTTGCTTGACTCTCACCACAGTGACTTGGGACTTGCTTGATACTTGTAGGTCAAGACTTGAGACTTGCTCATGACACATGTTGGACTTACTCCCACCTCTGCTAAATACTAACCGAAGATGAAGGATTTTCAGAATAAAAGCTTGTGGTTGAGCTTTAAATCTGATGGTATGTTTAAAACAAAATTATGCCATAAAACATTGATTTTAATTTCTAACACTCTGATGAAGAGCAACGTGTGTACGCGCCCAGAACAGCAGCCGCCTAGCTGCGTTCAGAAGCTGCGCAGATCGTACTCCTCCCTGGCGATTGAGGTAGGCTGCCGTGGCCTGTTGTCTGTGCGAATCAACACATGTTGATTGTACAGCAACGGGGCGAAGTGCTGGAATACTTTGCAAAACGGAGAGCAGCTCCAGCACATTTACCACTGACGCACGGGGTCGATGCGCAGGTGAATGAATCACCTCTGGAGTCTCCTCCTGCAGTGGCGTTTTCTCCCGGAGGCCAAGGGAAGCCAGGCTTCCCCTGTTTTTTCGGATTGTAGTTATAATTTAAATAAATAAATAAAAACACTTTGTTTTGTTTCGATAATTCTCCTTTGCTGTGTGTTGCTGCCGGCCCGTCTCTCCCCCACTCTCATTGAGTATTTTACAAAGAGTGAAACAAACAGCGCCCCTCTAGATGTTATGGTGAAACAGTAGATTGCATTCACTGT